CCCCTCTACAAGACAAGCCCCCACCTGCACCAGGAGCTGTCTGAGACGTCCCAGCTGAGACTCCAACTGCTGGTTGTGGTCTTCCAGGACCCTCATGCGTGCCTCCAGCCGGCCCTTGTGTTGTCGCAGCAGCTTGGCCTCCGCCATCATCTCCTCGTTGTGGTCGCCCGACGCCTCCCCCCCGTTGTTCTCCTCCGAGCTGAGGAGCAGGAAGGAAGTGTCGCTCCTCTGTTGGGCTGCCTGCTGTAACCGGTCGTACTCAACTTGCAACGTTCTGATGGAGGACAATTTAGTGTCAATAAAATTTTGGCAAAACTGTCCAAAGTACATTGAATTTCAAAAACTTGGTGCACGTATACGGCAAAACGAATAACTGATAAATACCTAAGATAAAAAACCAACTAGACTATACTGAATAACTGATAGATAACTAATTAAAAAAACCAACAACTTCTGAATAAATGATAAACAAATATATTTTATAAAAATACTGGATAACTGATAAATAACTTTTTAAAAAATACTGGGTAACTGATAAATAACTAATATTAAAAAAAATACCTGGTAACTGATAAATAACATATAAAAAAACCCTTCTCAATAACTGATATATAACTACTACAAAAAAACAACTTCTGAATCTGTATGTATAGCATAGGGTTTTACGGTGCTCGCAACTGCATAAGGTCATATGAGCGCTCTGAATAACTGATAAATAACTATATTAAAAAAGAAACTACTGGATAACTGATAAATAACCATCATCCAGTGCCAGATCGGTGACAGACATCGGCGATCATGGTTCTCCTTTCATTCCTTTGCTCTGATGCTCTTAAAAAACCCACTTTTCCCTGATCTTTCCCAGTTACCTATTTGTTTAGGATTCTTTTCCATGATTGTTCTTGGGATATTGCAGTAGTGGTCTCCCGTTGCCTACTGCCGGTTTGTGTACAGTTTTCTCTGATAAGTCATCCACTGACAACCCACAAGACAGTGGGGGCTTTGGTAGGATTTATGGCGCCTCCCGTCGCCAAAATGGTCCCTTATTTGAGTGTGTGATAAATAACTACTGAAAAACTGGTGAATAACTACTGGATAACTGATAAATGACCATCGAACAACTCGTAAAAAAACTACCGGATAACTAGTAATATGAAATCTCTTCACAGATCACAACTTGCACATTACATTTTAAACTGATATAGCATCACGTGACTTTTTCCTCCCTCACAACCTCTCAGTTTCAAAGCTCATCTCTAGTGCCGGGCGCCTAGGTTCCTGATTATTGATGAAAGCTAGGAATCGTAGGAATCGACTCCAAACCCAATTACTTCAGATCAATCAATACATGCAATCGACGACTGCACCTCTCTTTCTCTCTCTCTCTCTCTCTCTCTCTCTCTCTCTCTCTCTCTCTCTCTCTCTCTCTGGCTCACACTAGAACTTTCTAATGCTGTAATTTCGTCCGGTGTTTCCCTGGTTGGCTCCCAACATGTTCAGGGTTGAGGATCACCTTGTTTTGGGAAAACTACCAACCAACAACTTTTTTTTTTCAACAGTATTTTTTTTATAAAAAGAAGATTTTAATGATTAAAATAACTGGTAACCGTGGTTTACGTAAAAGGGAGTCCGAACATTTCTTCCGTAGCATTAATCATGGGAATTGGTTCCGGAATCGATCCTTCGCCCAGCTCTACTCATCTCTACTTTCCACACATGTGAGCATTTCACATCACGCGACAAGTCCATTTACTGGGAAGGGACAGGAGTAACTGTGATGGTAAACAGTATTTTTAAAAAAACCGCAATCATTTCCAAGTTACAAAGAAGATGGACTCACTTGTTCTCGTCTTCCAAGTCTCGGATCATGTTCTCCAACTGCTGCCTCTGGTCTGCGTCCACGGCCATCATGATCTGCATGGGACTCTTCAGCTGTGAGTGGGAGACAAGCACACATCAGAAAACATCATACATATTTGTGGGGGACAGACACATGACAGAAAACATCACAGCCGTTTGTGGGGGACAGACACAAGACAGAAAATTCACAGCTGTATAATTTCACCCCAGTTGTAAACTTTCACCACTGCTGTATACTTTCACTTTAGCTGTATACTTTTTTACCCCAGCTGTATACTTTCCCCCCAATTCCCCCCTATATACCACCCTGTGCCTCTCCGGCCTTCTGCTCTTCCTCTGGCAGCGAGATGTTCAAGGCCTTTAGGAGGATTCTGTTTCTTTTTGTTCGGTTTTATTTGAGGCCGCCCCACGCTGACTTATCCGCCCCCTCCCCCCCCCTTCCATTGCCCGCCCATTTGATTCGTTTTCATTTAATGAGTTACAGGAAAGGGTAGATACGGACGTGCAACACGACAAGCAAACTCACAGCATGAGATGATGGGTCTCCCTTCAGGCTGGAACAATACTGGGCGATGAGGTGATGTTCGTCCTCCCTACGGTAAAAAGACCCAAAACCAAACCTTATATTGAGTCAAACGTCAAATAAACCAAACCTTATATTGAGTCAAACGTCAAATAAACCATACCTTATATTGAGTCAAACGTCAAGCAAACCAGACGATATATTCAGTTGAAAGTCAAACAAAACAGACGCTATACTGAGTCAAACCTCAAACAAACTACACGTTTTGGGGTCTTTTCCCATTTTTCAACACGTCACATCACATATGGCTGATACAGCAAGCTCTCCCCGTCGTTTTATGCAAGAAAAATTCTGAAATTATGCGAACTGAGTCCAAAAATGTGAAATTATGCGATTCTGTTGATTTCAAATTTAAAAAAAGAATGATAAAGGAAAATAATAAGAAAATTTTGTAAAAAATGATCAAATTTTGCTAAATTATGCGGGGCGCATAAAACCACCGGGACAGCTATAGGGAAAAACTAGAATAGATTGGAGGAATTCCTTGACTCGAGACTTTAAGCAGCTAAGAAGAAAAACAACCTCCCCTTCCCCCCCCCCCCCACAAAACAACCAACAAACATAACAATGGGTGGACATTGTCATTCTGATACAATAGACAAACAAACAAAAAACACACAAATTGTAAGTACCGTGAAGGACTTTGACTCTTACCCCAAAAAATGACAACAAGTCAACTGTGTGTGTGTGTGTGTGTGTGTGTGTGTGTGTGTGTGTGTGTGTGTGTGTGTGTGTGTGCCTGCGTGTGTGTGCGCATGTATGTGAGAGTGTGCATGTAAATAAATGTGTACGGCGAAGTAACTTAAAAAGAGTAGGCACATAAGTTCGGAACTTCAGATTTAAAATAATTCTAAAAAACAGAAAAAGAAAAAGAAAAAAAAAATTGAAAACAGCAAATGCACACAACTGTCTACAACTCAGCGATACAAGGGAATATACAGCGGGCATGTGATATACAGTCGGCATGTGATAATACAGTCGGCATGTGATAATACAGTCGGCATGTGACAATACAGTCGGCATGCGATATACAGTCGGCATGAGATAATACAGTCGGCATGTGGTAATACAGTCGGCATGTGATAATACAGTCGGCATGCGATATACAGTCGGCATGTGATAATACAAACGGCATGCGATAATACAGTCGGCATGTGATAATACAGTCGGCATGCGATAATACAGTCGGCATGTGATAATACAGTCGGCATGCGATATACAGCAATAATACAGTCGGCATGCGATATACAGCAATAATACAGTCGGCATGCGATATACAGCAATAATACAGTGGGCGTGCAACATACACCGAGCAAACTAAAAGACCATGGCAACTATACATCAAACAAATGTCAGAAAACGTGAACATGATACATGGATACTGCTGATGGGAGTGCTGGGTTCTGTCACGTGGGCGAAAAGCAGAGCGTTATTAATTCACTTCTAATAGTGGACAATCTTCATTTGTTTTAGTTACAGTATAACGGAACTTGCAACACAATAAGGTAATAAGAGTCGTAACAGTCAGAGGTGTTACGAGAGAGTAACAGACACAAAAAAGAAAAATGAGAGATAAGGACGATAAATGTTTGATAGGAAAGAAAGAGTAAACCACACAAGAGCACCCAACAACCACCCACACCATAGGTGTGACGGTCAAACCTGGCAGAACCACATCACATTTAAGCAACTTTGAATAAGTACATGACAAGATGGACCTTTCTAAAGAAGTGAACAAAAAAACAACAACCCATGGACAACAAGGCATAATTTAGAAAAGGTGATTTCCCACTGAGCCAAAATGTGAGATTGCAGGGAGGGATGGAGAATTAAACAAACCAACAACAAAATGAAAGAAAAGGATATCTCATGTAACCGTGAAAGACGACAGGTTTTTCAAAAAAGGAAATAAAACAAACAGATGTCTGATGTAAAAATGTAACAAAAGAAACAAAACTAAAAAGGTAGACGACATGTATTTGTCACAGCCTCCACATTTTGAAACTTGATCATCTTTCGTGACTAGCTCAGCAGGTTTTTGAGGCAATAGGCGTGGAATTACTTGACTGTACTGACATGGGAATCTCTTGGCTGTTATAACATTTAGTAACAAGGTCAAGGATCTGACTTTTTCTTAATAAAGCAGTTCAGGCCACCAAGTTCACCAAGATCACATACCACCAAGGTCACCCTGCCACCAAGGTCACACACCACCAAGGTCACCCCGCCACCAAGAACAAGTGATCATCTCCATTGAGAATTGCAAAATATGAAAAGAAAAATCCGCCCGCATGTTGCTGGGATAAAGGTCACAATATAAGCCAAAGCCGTGTTGTGATGTGCCCGTTCCCAAATGAGTTGAGAGGTGTGAGATGTGTGGTGTGGGGTGTGTGGTGTGTGGTGTGTGGTGTGAGATGTGTGGTGTGGGGTGTGTGGTGTGGGGTGTGTGGTGTGAGATGTGTGGTGTGGGGTGTGTGGTGTGGGGTGTGGGATGTGGGGTGTGTGGTGTGTGGTGTGTGGTGTGTGGTGTG